CGGAGACTTGCAGCCAGGCACAGCGAACAGTGCTCAGCTCCTGGTGCTTAGCTATGGACTCACGGCAGGACTGAGCTGCTGGGGACTGGCAGCTAGGGGCGGGGGCTAAGGGGCGGAGGCTTGGGGGCGGGGGCTAAGGGGCGGAGAAAAGCAGGAGGGAAGGAGGATGAGGATGATGAGGAGGGATGATATCGAAGGAGGGAAGGAGAGTGGAAAGGTAATGGAGGGTGACAGAATAAAGGAAGAAAGAAGAAAAAGGGGTGAAAGGAGGTTGGAGAAGAGCAAACGGGAGGGGAAAGGACAGATTGAAAACAGTGTAAAAGGCGGAGGAAAGAAGGAATTGAAAGATAGGGGGGAGAAGGAGGGAAGGGTCAGAGGGAGGGAAGAGGAGCAGGCGGGGGAGGGGGGGAGGAAAAGAAGGACAATGTATGGGGGAGAAGGAAGGAGAGGAAAGAGGACAGGGGAGAAGAGTAGGAGGGAGAGGAAACTAGGCAGCAGCGGAACTCATGCTATCTTTTAGCCAAGGACCTCAAGCGGGGGCCGGGCTATAGACCCTGCAGCTGCCCGGGCGGCGCTATCACTGAGGAGCTGACAGTTGGGCAGGACCCAGTTGGGCGGCCTTGGCGGCTCCAGCTCCCCATGCTTAGGGACGGGGTCCAGCCCCCCATGCTCTGGGACCCTGTCCCAGAGGCTCCTCAGCCCTGTTTTCGGTACTTCTCCTCTCCCTACCCCCCTCCCACCTGGAGAACAGGTGGGGGGTTCAGCCCCTCAGCCACCACCACGGTGCCTGATCTTCCTCTCTTGGTTTCTAATGGCCCGGGGAACCCCTTGGTGCCAAGACCAAAATCTACAACCTGCCTTCTTTTGCTCCTCCCACGCTTCGGAAGCGGGAACCTCCGCGGAGCCAGGTCTTCCGCATTCGGGCACCCATCGGGTCCTGCGCACGCGCCCGGCAGCCGCGCCCATAGTCCCGCGGGCACAGAGCATGCGTGGGAGCCCCGCCCCCGCAAACCTCCCCCAAAGGGGAGGAGCGTTTCCTGGGGGCCCTGGCGCTTTCCTAGTTGGTATTGGCCAGGGGAACCTAGCGCCCGATTTTGAATAGAACCAATAACTTAGGGACACTGGAGCATCGTCTTTCTGGAAGAGTTTGAGCCAATATTCAAGGGAAACAGAAACATGAGGACTCTGCGTTATGTCATTCCCAATTTGTGTGCTCTGATTTCTGCGATCCCCGCTCATTTTTTTTTTTTAACCCTTCGATTTTGTTGGTCTTCGTCAGGAGTGGCCGATTTCGTTTTCAGATGATCTATTTGGTGACTAGACTAAAGGGAAGTGAAAAAACAACAGCAATGGTGTAAAAACAAAGAATCTTACGAGCGTTTATAGTGAGAAGCACTCGTCTCCATTTTACAAGCACTGTTGACTTCAAAAATATCAGGAAAAGCCCTGAAGAACAAGTAGCAGAAGCATTTTACTTTATAGGATTTATGGAGACCCTGGAAATCATTATTTGGCATGTGTGAGACCTGAAATTATTTATTTTATTTTACAAACATCTACACAGCAGTTACTGTGTGCTTGGCATTATTCTAAGAACGTTAGAAATATTAAATCATTTCATCCTCACCAATTGAATGACCCTGAAAGATGATCATTGTATTGTGTTAATCATACATATCTAGAAAGTACAAGAAATTTAATCATCATGAAGTTGGTTTCAAAATTTAGCAAAACTAATTTTACCTGGCCCTTAATTCAGTTGATTCATATTAAACTTGCCAAGCCCAGTTGTCATTTTATTCCTCGATGTTTGTTTTCTACTTGTAATATGAGAGTTTTTAAAAGCACTTTTGAAAAGTTTCCTTTAAATTGCCTATATTTTCCTGCCAGCTGGATTAGAAATGCAAACTCTGTATTTGACCAATGTATGTATCTCTTTATCTCATGGTCTTAGCAAACCTCCCACTCCATCCGCTCAAAAAATTATAGTGCATTCTGTTGTTCACAATAACAACTATACAATCATTTGTTGAACACATGCACAGTCCCTAACTCTGAGAAGTCAAAAAATTTCGTGGAATCGCTAATTTTCAGGAGCTTAACAATTAGGAGAAACTCAAGGATATATAAGAAGATGGATGCCACCTTGGCCATCATTTCCAGGTTTTATTCACATCACTCTTGCCTACCTAGCTTCTTTTACTCTTCATGTAAATTTATGGGAGGCTTGGGATGTTTGTAATTTATGGGCTTGGGGTCAACTTGCTCTTGTGAGTTAACATGTTGCTTAAAAGTTGCCATGACAACTGGTGAAATAAAGAGCTAATTATGACATGTTTGTGGGACACCTTTTATAAGGGGCAAATGGCAGCAGACAGGGTCATAGAAACAGGAGTAGCATAAGTGTCAAGGTATGTCTAAACAAACCAGCAATCTGAGATCATGGCATATTACTATGGAACAGCAAGAGTTGATCATGAAACACAGCTAAGTTGGTATAATAGTGTGGGTAGAAATGAGAAGTAGTAAAAAGTTCTTTAAATGTTGTAATTATGTGTTTGCCACTATAGTATACAGAATTATTTGTTTTTGTAATACTCCTTCCTTTTGACATTCCAACTTGTGTATGTATTATGAGTCCCGGCTATATCTTTACAAGTTTTGGGTTCTTGACATGTAGCTGCACTTTAGTTAAAGAGAAAGTCTTCCGTTTGGTAACAGATGGAAACTTATCTCTATCTCATGTACTTAGTCATTTCATATCACTTTTAAAAAGCAGTCTCTTAGTTGCTCTTTCCTTGTTTTATTACGCCCATTATCTTAATGTTACGGTATTTAGAATTTTTTAAATTAAATATCTATTATGCTTAGGCATGATGAAATTTTGTCTATTCATTCAAAATATATTCATTAAAAATTCTTACCTGCCAAGAATATTAGCAAACTCTTTAAAAAGTATAATGAGCAGTAGAGTGGAGGTAAGATCTTGTTCTCTGGTGTACTCCATATTTTCCTGCTATTTAGATAGTTTGTTTTTGAACCTCTGTTCTATATTTAACTACTGCCTCCTGCATACACCCTGACTTTACTCACATTTAGCTGCCATTTTTGTATAAACTTTACAAGTGTCCTGGGAACTTTAACATTGGCTTTCAGGAGATCTTGGCACTAGCTGAGATTCTACTGCTACCTAATTATGTGACATGAATCTCTCTGGAATTGTATCAACTGTAAAATAGAAATGATATACCTACTTTACAAGATAGCTGTGAAAGACAGATCATTTAAACCTGCATTTATTCATGAAATAATTTAATAAGTAGTCATCAAGTGCTTATGAGTACAAAAACAGTGGCCAGAGAAATATCCAGAGGCACGTTTTCACTTTAAGGGTTGGGGAACCTTTTTTCTGCCAAGGACCATTTGGATATTTATAACATCATTCACGGGACATACAAAATTATCAACTTAAAAATTAGCCTGCTATATTTGGTCAAACATTTAATTAACTCACCCCTAATGCCTTGGCAGGGCCAGACCAAATGATTTCTTGGTCCTCATACAGCCCATGGGCCGGCTGGACAATCCCCACCCTTAGCTTAAATAGGACAGAAGAATCTGGACTTTGCCACTTATTAGTTGTAATTTTAGTAACCCCTCTGGACTTGTGTTTTCCTCCTTTGAAAAAATGGCTATTGTGATGGTACCTACCTCAGAGTTATTGTAAGCCTTAAGAGCAATCACATACTTAAAGTACTTAGGACAGATAGTACCTGGGACAGAGTAAGTGCTCAAAAAATGGTAGCTATTGTTAACATGTCTTACATCAGGAATGGTGACTCCAAATCATCCTCATGTCTGGGATTTAGGTAAGTTAATCTTGCCTAATATAATTAAGCTTTTCTTTTTCTAGTCTCAGAATGAATGAAGAATGATTATGATCTTTCATGTTATAACTTGTCTTGAACTGTTTCAAGATAATCCCATTATTTTAAGTTCACCACTGATTGATTAGTAGAGCAGGGTTAATAATTGAACCAATTAAGACAAGTTTGTGAAATCTTTTTTAAAACAGTAAAGTGCTATGTTATTACTATTTTAAGAACTCCCATGCCACTAGTTGCACTTGTCTTCTCTGCAAGTTCTCTATGATTCCTAAAATGTGTGGTTCTACAAAATTATTAGCATGAAGTTTCAGCACTCAAAATTTAAAAAGAGCAGTTTTTAAAATGTTTTGAGCCATGACAGCATTGTTAAGTGGAAACACTGATTTGGATGGATACTAAATTCTGCGATATTTAAGAAAATAAGCCTCTCCGCTTTACCTCTAATCTTTTTCTTAGATAAATAGCTTTAAAGAGCTAGATTTTATTCAGTGTAAAAAATATACATTATTTGATTATGTTAAAAAGATAATGAAACTACATGGAAAACAATGATTCGTCTGCGCAATTGATTCATTTGGGTTAGCGCTTTACCAGGACCCTTTGGGAGTATGGCTTCTAAGCACAGAGGAGTGGTTTTGGTTTCTCTCCCACTCCCCCCGCCCCCCAGACCTCAGCTTTTTAAAAATTGCAAAGTTGTAGTGTGTCTCCTATAACAAGATGGAAAAATTTGTCATGGGAGGTTACAAGCTTTTGGCCTCAGTCATACAGCGTTAATGGCTTAACTAAAACTGAGGAAATTGAGTATTAGATATAAGGCGGAAAGGATGGCTCTCCCATACACCGTACTCCTCCCCACCCATTATTTCCTAAATAGTGGTTAAGGAAACCATTCCAGAGTTTAACATAGGAGCAGAGGATTGACCTCTGTGAATCTGCACTAGAAAGAGAAGGGAGGACCGAGCTTGGCCAAACAAACAAACAAAAACAAAAACACGGCAGCTCCCTGGCTGCGCCTGCGTACGTGGCCAGTGTAACAGAGGCGACAGCAATAATGCTCATTGCTTGCGCAGTAAGCACACGCCAACCCGCCAGGCACTGGGCGCAAGCGCAGAAGGGCGACGTGCAACTTAAACACCAAGATAGCTGGTGTAGTCTTTGCTTTAGCCCGAAAGGCTTACCTGATTTTTGCCTTGGCTCAACAAAATAAAAGAGAAGGATTTGCGGACGTAAACTAAGACAAATTCATTTTCAATATAGGTTTGGAGGCGGAAGATCTCAGCGTTAGTGACCCCGAGCTTGGGGGCGGGGGAGGGGGGTATTGTCGGTTCGGAGCCAGCACTGCCCCACTTTGTGCCTGCTAGTATTAGGGCTGGTAAGGTAGCAACGGTGAGCACTTCTAATAGCTTCCTCCTCTCTTCTCTTCTCCCCACTTTCTCCCTACATCATCTCCTCACCAAGTTGACCTGTCCGTATGCCAGAAAACCTTGAGATCATAGAACTAGGCAGTAGCTTCTGCCTCAACACGGACATGGCACAGGAGAAAATGGAACTAGGCGTGGAGCTGCTGCCAAGTTCAACCATCACAGCCGGCACATCCTGAGAAGACCCAACAGCGCCCCTTTGATCATTGAGCTTGGGTGAGCAGGATTGAGATACTGGAAAAGGCAGAGGGCGGGGGGCGTGGCAAGAGCTGGAGAAAGTGACTTCCAAAAATATTCCCATCCCTTTATTCATCAAGGTTCTGCAGGTATCTCTGTTGGTCTTGGCGTCCAACAATCGCACCCTCAGCCTAGAAGGGAGTGGGAGGGGCTGGCCAGAGGGAAAGCTCCCACCCACCCGGAGGTTGATTTGAACTTGAATCTCCTCTTCTGAAAGCACCCAACAGCAGCAACCAATTGATGTGGAGATTGACTTTTTCTAACTTCACCTCATCTCTTATCCATTCCTCTGAAGAAACTGAACATTCCCCTCCATATTTTCTATGATGACTAATTTTTGTCATTCTCTCAGCTGCTTTGTCACCTCTGACCTTCACCTCCAGCAAATGGAAATGATTGGCAAGCAAATAAGCTTGGGCCTTTTATATATATATAGTTTTTATTGGCACCAAAAATTTAAGTACCACAGAAAGTTTATCTAAATTTTGCATTTTGTATTCTCAATGGCTAATATTGCCCCCAACTTGCTTCTTGGGTGTGTGTGTGGGAAAAAACACACAACTACTTTTACGTGTAAAGCAAATTATATATAATATATATATATGGAAATTTCATGGGGATTTTTTTTCAAGGGAGTGCAGTTGGAAGAGAACTTTATATAGCAGGGGTCCTCAAACTTTTTAAACAGGGGGCCAGTTCACTGTCCCTCAGGCCGTTGGAGGGCCGGACTATAGTTTAAAAAAAAAACTATGAACAAATTCCTATGCACACTGCACATATCTTATTTTGAAGTAAAAAAACAAAATGAGAACAAATACAATATTTGTATTTGCATGTGGCCCGCGGGCCGTAGTTTGAGGACCCCTGATATAAAGGCTTCTTAGAGGGCTGATACTGAAACAAATATGATTTAGAAACACTGCTCTAACTGATAGTTAACTGTATTTTCTGCACATATCCAAAGGTCTAGCATGAGTCACGCTTATTTTTTCTTAAAATAGAATTTTAAAGTGAAATCTCGCATTTCACATCCCAATATCATAAAGTTTTCTCAATATTGTAAAAATGTCAAAAATGTGTTTACTGCATACTTTCCTCCTCACCTTTTGCTGGCATTAAACTAATCCGTAGTTGTAAATAGAAACTATTAGAAGTAAACTCAAAGACCAGATCTACCTTCCTTGTTTAACCTATAAGGAAACTGAAGCCCATAAATCTCCAAAATGACAACGCAGTAGAGCCAGTACTAAGAACCTATGTCTCCTGACTCCTAAGTTACTGCTTTGTCCACTACTAATCAACATCTAAGCTGATTAACTCTAAACAAATGCAGCTTTCTGGTCATTTGAGGAAAGGGAGAATATAGTGTTCTAAAATGAAAAGCAAACTAAGACTAAACAGAAAATAACACATTACCATTTTAATAGGCAGATAGAAAAGTAAAGGATGCGGGGAGCAATTCTGCATGTTGTGTTGTGTGGATAAATTATTATGAACCCACTCTGCTAATAGAAGAAAGCACTTAGGGAGAATGTTGGTTTTCCTGGAAGCCTTATGAAATGAAAAAAAAAAACAAGTTGCATATTGATGATAGAGGATATATACTTGAAGGAACCATGTGGATCCTGTTTAATATATTAAGTGCCGGAGCAGGGCAGGGGTGGCAGGACCCTTCCTCAACCCCCAAAGCCCTGGAAACAGAGTGATTTTAGTTATCCCTTCATACTTTGTTCTGAAAGGGATTTGAATTTTTATTTTATTTTATCATGAGAGTATAGTTACAGTGTCAAATTCTATAGCTTAAGATCCTGATGCATGAAGAGAAATTTGTATAGAAGGGTTGTGCATCTTTATCTAGAAGGAGTTAAAGAAACCTCAAAGTGGACTAAGCCCAAAGCCTCTTGTTTATGAAAAAGAAGTAACAGGAATGGGATATGACATGCCTGAGGTCAGGAGACTTGTCCAAATGATCTATGGGCATGTTTTGTGCTGTTTGGGCAAGTTTAGGGTGTGATCAGAGAGGTTACACTGAAGGAAGAGAAAGTTAGAGTAGAATTACTTTAAACCTTAGTTGAATTCATTTTCACCTCAGTTCTTTTCAGTTGCACAAGTACACTGCTCACTTTTCTCACATTCTCTTAGTTGGGCCTCTAATACTTATTGCCTTGCCTCTTTCACAGGTTGCTAAATATTGTTGAACTTCTTTCAAGTAATTTTCCACTTTTGCTTGATACGTCCTGTACATAAAGACTCAGTCTCTCTTGCACCAGCATTTGCAGAATTTGTTCCTTAAATGTTAATTCTTTAATGCATGTGTTATTGTGTTTAAGAAGTCCCTGCACTCTTTTGAGTACATCTTGTATTAATATAAATACCAATGTCTACAATTTTGAATCTCTTGGTTCTTTATACTCTTTAGCCCTCTAGTTGGCTTAGTTCACTACTGGTGTCAATAACTGTATTTAAAAGTTTTTTTTTTTCTTCTACTTCTCTAGCTTTTATTAGAATTAGAAATTAAGTTCTTGGATTTCTGACAGTGCCTTCACACTTTAAATACCTTTAGCCAAACCTCTGAATTTAAATTGTCACTGCATCAATTCTATCTGAAAGTCAAACTATTGCCCTTGGGCCAAATCCAGCCTGCCACTTGGTTTTGTAAATTAGAACATATTCATGCCAATATGTTTACTAGTTCGTGGCCACTTTCCCACTGCAATAGCAGAGTTGAGTAGTTGCAAAAGAGATTGTATAGTTCACAAAGCTCAAAGTTTTTACTATCTTGCTCTTTGTAGGAAAAGTTTGCCAACCATCTGGTTTAGTAAATCTTACAAACCTGAAAGAAGAATAGTGGCCATGAGGAATGACTGGGGACTATAACTGACATATATTGTAGTTTAGACAGAGCTGCTTACTGATGGTTTGATGTGGAGCATTAAACATCTATCTAGTTATATTACCTTCACTTTTCCCAAATTGTAAGTAGTGTAGCACTTAACTCAGTTGTAAATATCACCTAGGATTTTACAAATTTCATGTTGAGTGACTTGTACCAATTGAGTAAATGCTGCCTTGATTTATTTCAGTTATAGTTTTATAAAATAAAATTAGCAGACAGAAATTTAGGGGAGAATATAATTGCCAGCCATAAGAATTACCTCCACACTGACACAAAAGATAGTTGAAATATGTAACCCTTAGTGTCCCCCAACATCCTTATAAGTGACTGCTGGAATATATTCCTGTTTTTATAGGGAACATGATTGGGAAAAGAAGAAAAAATTATATATATATCCTCATAAGATATTAGCTTACTGTCTGTTATATGCAAGTTACTATGTTGAAAAAATATATCTCAAGGCTCAATAGGCTTTTAATTTAATAGGAAAAATAAATACACAAAGGACTTAAATGTATTAGAGTTAGACCTGTGCTTAGGGAGGGAAAGAAAGTGCCAGAGAAATTTAAAGAAGAGAATGAGAAATTGGTGGAATTGGTGAGGGAAAAGGAAAAAGGTCTTGGAGAAGTAGCAGTTTAGATTAATCCTAATGGATTGATAAGATGCAGACTGGAAGAGAGGGGGCTGGACAACTGTGTCAACATTCCTATATGGGAACAGGCTTGGAGGCAGAAAAGCGTAGTTGTATTCCAGATCACTGGCCAACTCTGCCTGCAACACTGTCTCCCAAATGTTCATCTGCTGATTATTGCTGATCCTAGGTGATGTTTTCACCAATCCATGTTTTTTTTTAAAAATAATAAGTATAGCATAATTAAATATGTTGTTATGCAGTTTCCAATTGTCCTCTCCTGGGCAGGATTATATTTTACTCAGAGATTGCTAGTGCTAGCGTGTTTTGTTTTGTTTTTAACTACCAAGTGTCCTTTTATAAATGAAACAATGGTGCTGGTAGCTGGTGAGGTTGTTTTGTTGTTTGTTTGTTTTTTAATAACCTTACTTGGCAGAAGAAAATGATAGCTACTGTGTGATTTTGTTATGAAATTGTACTAGTCCACGAAATCCCAAAGTCTCAAGCTAAATTATGGAGGCTTTGACTGTTATAGTAAAAAAGTAACTGAATTTGGCAGGTGATGCAGAGAAACTCTGAAAGTTGTGAGCAGGAGAGCAAGCTGTTCTTTAGGAAGGTGATCTGGTAGTCTGTTATAGCGATGGCAGTGGGGAAAAAGCAGAGGTGAGGTGACCAACTATATTATTGCAGAGTCTGTAGAAAAGTAAAATGGCTTTAAATTGGTTTGATACAGGATACTGAAAAGAGTAAGATGGATATAAGTGAGGTCATAGACATGAAACCTAAAAGACCTGGCACATGATTGGCTTTAAAGGACCAAAAAGAAAAAGAAAAAAGAAAAGAAAAGCCGAGACCGGTTTGGCTCAGTGGATAGAGCGTCGGCCTGCGGACGGAAAGGCCCCAGGTTCAATTCCGGTCAGGGGCATGTACCTGGGTTGCGGGCACATCCCCAGTGGGGGATGTGCAGGAGGCAGCTGATCCATGTTTCTCTCTCATCGATGTTTCTAACTCTCTATCTCTCTCCCTTCCTCTCTGTAAAAAAATCAATTAAAAAAATATAAAAAAAAATTTAAAAAAAAGAAAAGAAAAGAAAAGAAAGGACCAAAAAGAAAATTAAAAAGATGATTTCTTTTTTGTTAAAGATGATTTCTTATGATCATTAGGGTGAATGAGAGGTACACACAAACCTTCTGTACTCTTTTTGCAACTTCTTGTGAGTTTTAAAGTGTTTGAAAATTAAAAGTTATAACAAAAAGAAAACAGAAAAAGGAAAAGATGACGTTTTCAGTGTCCAAAATATGCAGCAGGGCAGGCCTGTCAAAGCTGAGGACACAAGCACCATCTTCAGTGGGCTTCAGTCCATTGTTGCAATGTGAGAATGTGGCCCATGAGCAATACATTCAAGGGCAATACTCAGTGAGCATCAAAGCCCCACTGAAGCATTTCCTGCTCTGTAGGAGGGACTGCACAGCAGCTCCCCTGCTGTAGTCATAGCCAGTCCTTGCAGCTGATCAGCCTGGGGATAAGTCCCTCCCAGTGATGCCAACAGCAGTCAAGACTCAACTATAACAGGACAGTGCACACAGCTCACTCAGTGGCACATATGGAGCACACAGCTCGGGTAACTGGGGAGGCTGCATCACTGGACCCCACAGGACAACTACTACACAAGGCCACTCTACCAAGTCCAGGAGGTGTAGCATAAAAACAAACATAGGGAAGCAGCCAAAACGGGGAAGTAAAGAAACAGATTCAAAGACACAGAGGACATTTTTACATTTGCCAGAAGGGAGGGAGGTTGCGGGGTGGGGGGGTCCTGGGTGAAAAAGGAAGGGATTTAGACATACAAATTGGTAGTTACAGAATAGTCATGGATGCGCATGTAAAGTACAGCATGGGGAAGATAGTCAATCATACTCTAATAACTATGTATAGTGTCAGATGGGTATGAAATTTATTGGGATGATCACTTATTGAGTTGTATAATGTCTAATCACTGGGTGTACACCTGAAATTAATATAATAACGTATGTCAACTGTAATTGAAAAATAAAAAAACAATTAAAATTTAAAAATTTTAAAGAAAATATCTTGCTCTTTCCTGTACTCTTTTTCCACCTCCTGCCTTGAACAGAGCTGTGTACATCTTCACTAATGTAGTAGAGTTTATTGACTTGGACATACAAGATAGGAATTGCTTTCAAATCCATAAGGATTAGGTTGAAAGAAAGAAAGAGAAAAAAAGAAAGAAATCTCAGTTCTATGGACCCCTGCTATTGGTTATACCTCCTAAAACTGTGACAGTTTGGGAGCTGAGAGGGACTTGATACTGGCACATTGTAGCTCCAATCATAAATTTAAATCAGGTTGAAACAGAAAATTATGTATTTCCAAGGCCACAATAAATTATATTTATTCTTGGTAGCATGACTAAAGGTAAAGTGGCGTGCTTGAGAATTCCTTACCTTACATGGACACTTGTTTAGGCTCAGCCAACTAAGGCTTTGTGTATGTGTGTGTGCATGTTCATGTGTGTTTTAATTTCTACATCTGCACAGCATCTCCAAAAAGAATCCATTTAGATTAATGGCATTGCTGTTTGAGTATTGAAATCTTATTTTTTTTCTTTTGAAAACTTATTTCTTTAAAAAATTTTTATAATAGATTTTAAATGAGAAATTATCTCTTTTTCTTCTTAGTGATAATTCACTGGTGTTCCAACCTGACAGAATAAGAACTAGAAGAAACAGTACAACATTTATGACACAACACTGTCTGGTAAGAAAATGCTTATAGCATCCTCACTGGCCAAGATTGTGCTCTTGGCCTTAACTAGTGGTTCTCAAACTTGAGTGTGCACCTGGAAAGCTTGTTAAAACAGACTACTGAAGATAAATTTAACTGATACTCAGAGTCTATTACTCTATAATAATTCCTCAATCCAATAGAAATGTAAAACAAACAAACAAACAAAAATACAGACTCCTGGCCCTCAAACCCAGGGTTTCAGATTCAGAAAGTCTGGAGTGCTGTCTGAGAATTTGCATTTCTGACAAGTTCCCACTTTGAGAAACACTGTATCTCAAAACCAGAAACATTACAGAAGGGCACATAAACATGTTGACTACAATCACACTTGTTTTGCTGAAACTGCAGCAGAATTAAGGGTTGTCTTTTTAAAAATAAGTTTTACTGATTTTTTTTCAAAGAGAGAGGAAGGGAGAGAGAGATAGAAACATCAATGATGAGAGAGAATCATTGATCAGCTGCTTCCTGCATGCCCCCTACTGGGGATCGAGCCCACAACCTTGGCTTGTGCCCTTGACCGGAATCAAACCTGGGACCCTTCAATCCGCAGGCCAATGCCTTATCCACTGAGCCAACCCTCTAGGGCGACAATAAATTGTTCATAGACTTCTCATATGATTGTTAACATGATGGAATCTATAGAGCGTATTTCAGTGAAATGTTATAGCTTGGAACTCATTTTTAAATATTACCTCCTAATCTTAGAACTGGACGTTTTCCTCTATGTCGAGTGATATTCAATATTACTCCACTGTCAACATAAGAAACATCCAAATCTGTAGAGAATTTTATGAGTTTATTTGAGCCAAACTGATGACATGCTGGGAAGCAAGATCTCAATGCTCTGGCAAATGACAGTTTCTGGTTCTTTTTATATATTTAGAATTAAAGGAGGGAAATAAAGAAGATTAAACAAGATTTTGTGCTCCTTCGAGAGTGGTTATACCTCTGAGGGGTCTGGAAAAGAGGATTATGTGTACTTCTGGCATTTCATAGGAATTTTAACCCAGGTGCACAAGAACTGTGGAGAGGTCTTGCTTACCGCAAAGATAAACCTTTTATAGGCCTGGAGTATGATTACCCACCCCTGACCTTCCCAGTTAGGAATTTATGATTACATACATTAAGCTGTGAGATTACCTTCAGTTACTGATTTTGTCAGATTTATTAGAGTCCCTTTTTTGTTTGAACTGCAAATGCACTGATGTTATATTGGGTGGTAAGGGGGAATAGAATTGTTCATTAAACAAATCCCCTTCTATCCACTCATTTACTCATGTTATTGTAATATAGCCAAAGGACCATAATGTCTGTATATAGAGTATATGTATATATTTAAGATCAGGTTAGTATGTCTTTTTAATTAAATTATAAACCTTAGTGTTTCAATTCTATATTGTGAATTTTCTGGGCATTTGGATGATGATGATATGAGCATCAGTAGCATGAGTTAAATGTATTAAAATTCTGTTTATTCAAAGGTATGTGTGCATTTGAGGGTTTTTTTTTTAAATTTTTATTTATTTGTTGTTGTTAACCCTCACCCGAGGATATTTCCCACTGATTTCTAGGGACAGTGGGAGAGAGAGGGAAAGACAAAAAGAAACATCGGTGTGAGAGAAACACATCGATTGGTTGCCTCCTGCAGGAGCCCTGATGAGGGCCCAGGCCGGGAAAAAGCTTGCAACCAAGGTATGTGCCTTTGACTGGAATCTGACCCAGGATCCTTTGGTTCGCAGGCCGACGCTCTATCCACTGAGCCAAATCAGGTAGGGAACATTTGAAGGGTTGTTTTTTGTTGTTGTTTTTTGTTTGTTTGTTTGTTTGTTTTGTTTTGTTTTTAAAGGAAAACCTAAGTTTTTTAGATTTGGTGCATGTACAACTTCTCAGTGATCAGTGCTAATAAAGGAGAGCACTGGGGGAGAATATCCCAAACTGGATAAATCAAAATAGTTTCTACTTGCTTTGGAAAGTAGATTATCTTTACAGTATGCTTTAAGAATGGGAATACAAATATTTTAAAATTAGCAATAATATCTAATATTGGAGAGGTACAAGGAAATCCATATTCTCACACACTGCTAGAAAGTAAATTTGAATAAGCTTTCTGAAGGACAGTTTGGCAATGTGTATCAACAGCCTTGTGAGCCAGAAACTTCAACTCTATAAATTGATCCTGAAGAACTCATTAAGGGTGTATGCAAAGATTCAGCTATAAGGTTGTCATAGCATTATTTATAAGAGCAAGCAAAAAATGTAGCAACAGTATTAATGTCCAACAGCAGGGAATATGTTAAATGACTAGCCTTCATTATCTGAAGCTGAATCCCAATTGTAGCAATTACTAGCTATACAACCTTGGACAAGTTGCTTAATTTCTCTGGCCCTCAATTTTCTAATCTTTAAAATGGAAACAATGTCTACGTTGTGAGGTTGTTCTGAGAAATGAGTGAGATAAGATATGGCTGGTACATAATGAGTGCTTCTTCTTATTACAGAACATCCATAAAGTATAATATTCAGCCTTTAAAAATGCTGGAGTGATTGAATTTTAACCTGGAAAGATATTTGTAATGTATTAAGTTATTTTTGTTTTCTTTCTAAAGTAAAAATCCAGTTTATTCACCTGCTTACCACATAGCACACAAGAAACAATGTGTTTCACATCATAGATTTCACTTCCAACTTCTTTGTTCATTTTTTTTTTTCTGGCTAAAAAGAGAGAGTAGCCAAGAAAGCCAGACAATGCCTACCTAACTAAAATAAGTTTGGGGGAGTGATGCTAATATCATCCTCACAGGAATGGGCACATGGGGGCCATTAGTTGCAAGCTGATTTTCTTGAACTGTTAGCTGAGAGCATAGGAACACCACTTGTGGATGCTCATGCTATCTCAGGTTTCAGTCAGCCCCACCACACAGGTACGGCAGAGCTCTCTGGTAATTGCCTTTACTGTCTTCCTGGACGGAGTCAGCAAAACACACTTGTTCTGAATACACTGGGCCAGGTCTCCTTTGACTAAGAGCTGTAGCTCTTGTACCTTTCAAATAATATCTGGAGGCAACATGCCCTCTGTTCGGTCATGATGCTGATCCACTTGGAGCATCAGCTCCTTTCCTCTTTGCTTCAGCATCATAGAGGTCCCAGGCATCTTGGGTCAATCAGTTCATAATCAATGATAGAGCCACCCTCTCTGCTCTTCTACCCTTTGCAAGGGCAACCATCAGCTTGCAGAAGTCACCAGATGTGTCAAAAACAATATCCTTCTTTTTTAACAATATCCTTCTTCAGATAATTCTTCAGATCTATTCCTTGTAGACTTAATTTCTAACAGCTCCTGGTTGGTCCTTGAGCAGATTATCTCAGTGGGGAGTCCTCGTCAGTCACCAGACCCTTCATGGAGGAAGAAGGCTTTCAGCTCGGAAACCTCATACTGAGCAGATATTTTCAGTAGGCCCCCGAATCATCATCTGTATCTGAATCCCAGTTGGCCAGACAAGGCTGACTACATTACAGATGCAAGTTACATTTTGGTCCTTCTTTGGTAGACAAAGGCAATATCCTGTTTCTGTTCATTGTTACAGCTGGTCATGTGTTGACGATGGTGACCTCATTCACCTTTAGTCGTGATGGCTGCTTCAATGTTCAAAGTATTCTGCTCAGTATAAAAGTTGGTGTATGCTTTGACTGACTTGTATGCACTTAGGGGTGTAGAGTGGTCATTCTCCAAGCTGAGCTTGCACAGAATTTCATGAATAGTGGATATTTTTATAGAAGCTGGCCCAAGAGCTGAGAACTGCAAACATCCCCAGATGCAGAGCCAAAATGTATTATTATTTAAAAAAAATGAAAAATAGTATGTGCAGTAGGACCCAGGTCTGGGAAAATAAACACTGAGATATTTACTATAGTCATCCCTGGATGGTGGGTGATGCTGTTTTTCCCCCCATGAATTATGTTTTATACTGAGCATGTATTGCTTTATAATTAGAAAAAAAGTGAATAGCTTTCTGTTGCAAAATAAAAGAGTGGGGTAAATAGGTGAAGCACAGTGGATTTTTAGGTCAGTGAAACTACCTGATATAATACTGTGTGATGGATATATGTTATTTTGAGTTTGTCCGAACCCATAGAGTGTACAACAAGAGTGAACCCTAATGTAAACTATGGATTTTGGGTGATAATGATGTACCAGTATTAATGTAGGTTTATCTATTACAACAATTTACCACAATTGTTTGGTTTTTGATAGTAGGGGAGTCTATGCCTATGTAAGTGTAAGGGAAATCTCTGTTCCTTCCACTCAGTTTTGTAGTGAACCTACAACTGCTCTAAAAATTAAGTTTATTAAAAACTAATTAGAATAAAATATCAGATGGGAAAAAGAATGAAGAATGCTGGGTAATAGGGAATAGATAACCCTAGTTTTATAAGTATCACATATAATCCAAGTTGTTGTTTATAGATCATTAAACATTCAATTCTATAAGTGTTTGATGATGGTGGTAGTGGTAGTGATAATTAGAATTTATTGAGTACATACTATGTGCCAGGTACTGTATTAAGCATACTATGTGTATTATTGTCATCACATTTAATATAAACAGAGGCTTGAAAGAACTCTTATAGTTTTAATAACACTACTTCATATAGCAACAAATTATATAGAAAACATATCCCTTTTAATTACGCTTTTAAATTTTTTTATTAAAGTATAGTTGACATACAACATCATGTTATAGTTTAAGTACGCAACATAGTGATTTGACATTTATATACCTTACCGGTATAATGTGATCACCACAATAAGTCTAGTAACTATCTGTCACCGTGCAATGTTATTGTAATACTAGAGGCCCGGTGCATGAAATTCATGCATGTTGGGGGGTCCCCTCAGCCCAGCCTGCACCCTCTCCAATCCTGGACCCCTCAGGGAATGTCCCACTGCCAGTTTAGGCCTAAACTGGCAGTCAGACATCCCTCTCATAATCCGGGACCACTGGCTCCTAACTGCTCACCTGCCTGCCTGCTTGATTGCCCCTAACTGCCCCGACTGCCAGCCTGGTTGCCCCCAACTGCCCTTCCCCCCCCCCATCAGCCTGGTTGCTCCTCACTGCCCCCCTCTGCCGGCCTGGTCACCCCTCAGTGCCCCCCCAAGGGCCTGATCACCCCCAACTGCCCCCCCCCCCCCGCCAACCTGGTTGCCCCACACAGCCTGCTGCTCAGTCGTTTGGTCGTCCCTCACTAACCCACCTACTGGCCTGGTCACCCCTAACTGCCCCCCCTGTCAGCCTGGTCACCTCACGCAGCCTGCTGTTCAGTCATTTGGTCACCCCTCACTAACCCCCCTGCTGGCCTGGTTGCCCCACGCAGCCTGTTTGGTCGTCCATTTGATTGTTTCGGTTGCGATGGTCATTTAGGCATTTATATAGATAGATTATTGACTGCATTTCCTGTGCTGTACACTACACCCTGGTAGCTTATTTATTTTATAACAAGAAGTGTGTGCCTCTTATTCCCCTTTACCATTTTCACCCTTTTGTGTCAGTTTTATCAAGAAAAACTTCCTGACTTTTATGAGAGGGTTCACCTAGTTGCATTATTGACTTGCATTAGGAATTTTCTTGAAATACCAACTTTGGAACACAATTAATACAGGCCAGCCTGAGTTTCTAGCCAGTAAGCGGTCCATAGCTGCTTCTTTATACTCATCTCTGGATAGAAACTGAACCAGGCTCAGAGATGATGAATATCTGAGTATGACTACTCCAAAGTTAGATAGACGGTGCTGTTAGGTATAATCTGCTCTTCTGTAGATACCAAAGTAGATAATTTTTCTACTCAAAAAGTTCAAACTTTTTGAGAAGGGAATTTAAGGCTTTCCATCATCTTCACCCTCTTGGCCTCAGAGTCTTCTATCCTTCCACAAATGCTGGCATGCCAATCAAACAAGACTAGCAACCTTTCCTAAAATATTTCAAGCACTCATATTGCTTATGCTGTCCTACAAGGTTCAATTCAAATTTCACCTTATGCCTTTCTTATCTGTCTCCTACCTCCCACCCCCTACACCTATACACTTAATTTTGCTTTTTATACCTACCACACTTTGCCTCCATCTCACACTCATTTACTTGTCTCTTACATAATATTTGCTATGATGTCTGGATTGTTAGGTCTCTGAGAGTAATGACTATGGCTTAGTTGATTTTTTAAAAAAATCTTTCCTTTCCCTCTGAGCAGAAAAACAGGTCCTTACATATAAAAAAGGCTCAAAAATATTGAATACTTAAGAGTTAGATCCTAGCTGGTTTGGCTTAGTGGATAGAGTGTCAGCCTGCAGACTGAAGAGTCCTGGGTTCAATTTTTTTTTAAATATATTTTATTGATTTTTTACAGAGAGGAAGGGAGAGGGATAGAGAGTTAGAAACATTGATGAGAGAGAAACATTGATCAGCTGCCTCCTGCACACCCCCTACTGGGGATGTGCCCACAACCAAGGTACATGCCCTTGACCGGAATCGAACCTGGGACCTTTCAGTCCACAGGCCGACGCTCTATCCGCTGAGCCAAACCGGTTACGGCTGGGTTCGATTTTGATCAAGGGCACATGCCCTGGTTGCAGGCTCGATCCCCAGTAGGGGGTGTACAGGAGGCAGCCGATCAATTACTTTTTAAAAAAAAATTGTTAAAAATTATATTTATTAATTTTTCAGTAACATGAGTTGGTATGATAAAATAGCAAACGAAATAAGTAGACTACAAAGCG